TAGAGCTAAGTAAGTACTACCCAACCCCGTAAAATAATCAAGTTTGACAAAAATAGTTTTTCATAAAATACTATATATATAAAAACTCACACTACCAAAATTCTTTTCTAATAAAAAAACATCATTTATAAACTTTATAATCTCAAATACCCGTTTAGTGAAAAATAATCCTTATAAGCTCCAAACAATTAACATCTCAAATTAAAGTATCACTTTTCAAAGTTAACTTCTGTAACTAAAAATATCACCATTCCAAAATCAATGTCACTCTTAGATTCTTTTAAGATGGGCGAAACTCAAGATTTCTCGAGTCCAATGAATCGTTGTTGTGTACGACTCATCTCGGAATTCCGGCTCCCACTGACCACCAATTGGAAACTGAACTTCACCCTTAAGTGTGCACACCCCCTAAAAGGGATTCCAAGCCCTCCGAGTAGTAAGAAGTCCAAGTAGTTCGGACAACGTCCCCCTACCTCACAATGGGTTAGATACCCGGGTAATTAGAAACTACTACCGCGGCCACCAAAGAACTTTTAAAGTTCTCAAAAGAAATACCGGGAATCTCCCACCACCAATATTTACCGGGATTTCTCCCGCCACCATTAATCAACCTAAAATAAACCCGCGGTATATAGCTCTAACCACCCTCCACATTTATCCGGATGTGGAAAACCGACACCACGGATTTCTCCCGATTGCTCACCTCTTATAAAATCCTTAATTTTATCTTGAATCAAGATATACTTCCAAAAATATTTCTCAAACTCTCTAAATAGTCTCAAAGGTATTTAAAAATATTTAAATAGTCTCAAAAAGTACTCTTAATTTGTATTCCTCAAAATCACATACACATAATTCAAAATTCACACTTAATCACATAATAATGCATAATAAGCATATAATACGAGGAAACAATTTTGGATTGGCAGAGAAACTTACCGTAGGTCCTGACGCTCCTAATTATCTTCCTCAATTCCGGTCTCTAAATATTCACCTTTTTAATTAAGATGATATAATTAGTCACTTATTGTATTTGTAATTATTTTACTCGATTTTCTCCTTTTATTTTATTATTCTGATTTTAATAATTTATTTAATTAATTATTCGAGTTAATCACTATTTACTAATAAAACTACCTTATAAATTAATTTGAATACATATTTTTTTTATTACAATATCCGAATTCTAATATTAAATAAAATATCCGAATATAATTAACTACAACATCCATTTTTTTATTTAATAATCACCATTAATTTACTCTACTCATAAATTTAATTACTTTATTTATATTAACCCATTAATTTATGAGTTCAAATATTTTAAATATTTATATGAATCCCGAATCTCTAATAATCAATCATAAAAATTATTAATTTAATTAGTCCACTAATTACATAAGTTATTTATCAAGTCTACATATAGTCAATTATTTATGCTAGCTAACCCAACCTTATTTTATTTTCCTTATTTTATTCCCAACATCATTTTTAGTCCAGAATATTATTTTCAATCTCAGTGATTTATTTAATTCCCCATTAATATTAAAGTTTCCTTATTTAATTACTTAACTAGTTTTATATGGCCCAATTAAATTAAATAGCCTAAGAATCGACTTTATAAATTAATAACCATCCATAACTATATTTATGGGTCTATATTTGACCTAGATTGTCCAGATATCTATTTTATAATTATTTTCCTTAATTATTCATTTAATTTCATATATCTATTAACCGGTTCGATTACAATTAAATATACTAATCTTAATTTTTATTAATTATAAATGGTCCCTAATGTCCTAGCTAGTCATATATTTATCCTAGTTTACTCCAATATTTGTTTCATAATTATTTCCGTCATTTAGTTAATTATTTACTAAATGTGTACAGTTTGGCCCAATTACAATTAAATCAATTAAAAATAGCTACAAATATTATATTTCAATCCAGGTTGGTCCGAATATGTGTATTTATACCAGGTATTTAATTTATATTTTTCCAGATTTTATTTATTTCATTTACTATTTTATTTTTAATTTTTATTGCAACTAGGCTGGACTGGCCCAAAATAAAAAAAACAGCCCAGTTACAGCCGGCCCAAAAGAAAGACCCCAGCCTTGGCTGGGTCGTCTTCTTCATTGAGACGCCAAAAACGAAGCTCAACAAAGGTGATGCTTACCTGGACGGACGCGTGAGCTGGTGGTGGCGGAGCACTCCTTCGGGGACGGTGAAGGTCGGTGATAGGTTGGCGGCAGCGGCAGCTCCTCCCTCTTCTCCGATTTCCGTCGTTACGGTTAGCCCGACAAAACTCCGGCAAGCCCGTTCTCCGTCGTTTCACGATCGTTTTCAACGATTCTTTCACCGTTGGATTCCTCTCTCGAAGGGGAAGGTTTTAGAAGTATTTTCAAGGCTCGGTTTTTAGTTTAACGCTGGGTTAGATTTTCGACTATATATATATATATATATATATATATATATATATATATATATATATATATATATATATATATATATATATATATATATATATATATATATATGTATATTGTATATATATATTCGTATGGAGCTCGGTTTTGGTGTGAATGAAAGTGAAGATCGAGGCTAGTATTTATATGGAAGGACTCTAGGTTTAATCTCGAGCTTATCCGGTTGTTTTAGCATTGATCACGTTACATTCGAAAGTTATGGAGTATTGAGTTTATCGGGTGTTTTAGTCAGGCTTCCTGTGACTTCAGTGCTTCTGAATGTGGACGTCTTCTCTTCCTTGTACAGAGTATGAGTTTGAGTTGTTTACTATTGTATGTGGAGTGTTTATCTAAGGTACGTAGGTATATGTTATGTATTGGTATTGGCATGGTCAAGTTTGTATTATTTAGAATTGGTTTACTTCGTACGTACTGTATATATTAATGTGTAGAAACTCAAGTTTGTATTTTTGTGTAGTTTTACACAAATTAAAATAGTTATAAAAAAATGACTTTTATTACTTATGCCATATGTATAACTGGTACTTAATATAAAATGTTACTTCTATTATCGGACCATTTTTATCAGACTAAACATGTCACAAACGTTAAATTTTTGTCTGGTTCACTTGTTTACTAAAATGTTGTTTCTATTACTGAAATATTTTTATCTAACTAAAACGTCATAATTTTTGAAATTTTATCTGATTCGAATGTCACATCTGTTGAATTTTTGTTTGACTCACTTAATAATTAAAATGTCATTTCCGTAACATTTTATCTGATTAATAAAAATTATTTTTATTTTTATTTAAATTTTTGAAGTGTCACACTGGTTGCCTCCGACATCAACCAATAACGAAGGCTCTAATATTTAACAGAGGGTGATGTTCCAAGACCACCCCTGAAGGCGCTCGCCCTCACTACGACATGGCTGGGTTACAGAATTTGCTAAGTCCACACTATGGGAACTCACCAAAGCCGAAGGCTCACCTCACGTGATGAACAGAGTTCGAGGGCACCCACTATATATTGTCGAAGGAGATTGCTCTTTAATGTGATTACCTCCGGCACTACATTAAACAACGGGGGCTGCCTCCCTACAAGTGGATCAAGGTTCAACTGACTCGCTCCATATTTCTACCGATGGCTGCTAGCTGTAAAGGCCATGGGAATTTTTCTGTGCTCACAATCTGAAGTGCCCCCAACACCACTATACTTTGCCACGGGAAATCTTATCTAAAAATGCTACAAGCCGAGGGCATGCCCTCGACGTGGATCCCCGGAGGCCTAAGACGGAGGCCACTACATTTCGTACAACAAAAGGGGTCTATTAACCGAAGGCCAAGTGGTATAACAACACTTAGAAAATTCTCTAAGTCCTAAATGGTTGGCCCTCGATCAACTCATCATACAACGAAGGCCAAGCGATGGAACTACGCTTAGAAAAATTCCTTAGTCCTAATTGATTAGCCCTCGGCCAATTCACCATGCAAAGATGCATTCGTACGAAAACAAGAGAAAGCATAAAGGGAGAATGAAGACATAAGCCACACACTCATTCATCAAAAGAAAAAGCAAGTTCATACATCACAAGGCCCGAAGGCATCATACATAGAAGAAAAGGAGGACAATGTTAAGTGTTTGTTACATCGGCCGAAAGCTACAGAACGTTTTTACAAAGATTGTTCAAAAAAATTTACAAGTACAAACTACTCAGCGGTTCCTTCCTCGGCTGCTTTGGAGGTGGCACCGCCCTCGGCATCGTCTTCATCACCACCGAGGCCACACTCCCTCATAGTCTCAGAGTCTTCTAGCACCAGCCTCTCTTCACCTTCGGGGAGGGGGATCCTAACGTCCGGTTGCCGAGGGGGAAGACCGTATGCCTCCGGCTTAAAATCTTCCGGGGACACATTGAAGTGCTGGGCCATCTTCCGATAGATAAGACGTTGAGTGAAGAACTCCCCGCCTTGGTAATATGAGTCGCCCCTCTCGGCCAACCACATCTTGCTGGGGCCTCCCACCCAAGCATCCACACTCCTCTCAACCACCGAGGAGACCCAGTCCCTTCTGTCCTCGGCGGTCCAGCCACCGGCGACGAAGGCCTCCACAGCAACTTTCTAAGCTTTGGCCACCTCCTCGGCCTTTGCCCTCTCAGCCTCCTCGGCGGCAACACGGGCGGCTTCGGCAGCTGCATTCCCAGCCTCAGCCAGACCCTCGCTCTTGCCTTCGGCCTTCGCAGCCCACACCCGCTGCTCCATGCTCTCGATGGCCAGGCGAAGGGAGTCCTCGGCTTCAGCCAACTTCTTTCTGAGGCTAGCAGCTTCCTCCTCGGTAGCACCCCTGGCCTCCATCATCTGCTCGACCCTCCGGAAGTGCTCACAGTGCATGCATTACATGTAACGCCCCTCTCAGGGTTAAAGGAGACGTCACATAAATTACTACTATATATAAAAAAAACTGCAATATAACGGCCGTTTATTTAAGAAATAACCCTGATAAAAATCTCAAATATAACAAAATTATAGCTCCAAATAAAAACTCAAAAAAATTCTAGTTATCACCAGCAAATGTGATAACCGCCTGGATCCAGGAATTTACTAAAACTTCAAAACCTCAATTATATAAAGTAATAATAATCTTTTTATTCTCACTGAAATACTGGAGTAAAATAAAACTAGCTAGAAGCCGCCAAGGTCGTTCCCGTTAACTCATCTTGGCACGCGTTCCACTCCCTCATCATCTTCCTAGGCCTTGGCCTTACCCTTAGTATCTGTACATGCGAAGAAAGAAAACTGATAAGCTTTACGCTTAGTAAGTCACTATGGATCCACAAAAAATATCTGAGAAGTCTATGCTAATTTATCAATAGATAAATTTAGGCTATAAGCATGCACTAAACAAACAACTAACAAGTAGCTTCTCAAATAAATTCTGAGAGAGATCCCAAAAGAAATATTTTCTAAAATAATTTCTCAAAACTGCTAGAGAGAACTCAAAATTTCTTTCTCAAAACATCTCTGTAAAACTTTCTGAAAGAGATCTCAAAATAACTTTCTGTAAAACTCTTTGTGGCTAATTTTAACTGTGGGCCCGTGATATGTACTCAAAGGCGCCAATCCGACAGCTCAGGGGAGCGACCCACAAAACATGTCGGACTCTCTGAAACTGATAAACTGATAATCTGAGGGAACTTGTTCCCGAGTACATATCACCTGATCTTTCACTTTAAATATTAGTTCTTTTTATAGTGATGTTTGGGTAAAAAAAAACATCATTAAAATCTTGAAATAAAGCACTGACATAATCTTGACTATGCCAGATAATAAACATAACTTAATGCAACAATTTCAATAACTCATCAAATAATTCACCCAGCTCACGTAATAGCAAATAGTCTAAATTCATCTACTAAGAATCAACCAGACTTCTTTCTTTCATTTGGTTGAACAAACATGTACAGGTGGTAGTGAACTTACCTGATAGAAGCTGAACGCAATTTACTCAAACAAGTGTGGCAACTTGATAACGTCTTCCAGTAGGCTCTTCTTTGAAATCTTTAATTAAATATTAAATATAACATTATGCTTAAATCTTGTTATACTATAAGCAAAGCTGAAACAGTTTGTACTGAGAACCAATACTCTTTAATTTGAAAATCTATATTTCTGTTAAAAGTGCCGACCCAAAAGTCCAATTCAGTAGCCTTTTTGCTATTACCCCAGTTAGTTGCTTAAAAGAAAATAAGAACTATTTGACTTTGTTGTTTTAGAAATCCGGTTAAGCACCAACCGTGATTATTAATTCTGGATACAAGAACAAAAAAAAATGGAATTCTTCTATCTTGCTTCTACGGAAAACTAAAAGAACACAACTTTTAACATATGGAAACCTTTTTATTTACAAGAACCTGCTAGATGGAGCTTGAAAGTGCAGGGAATGATTTCACAATGAGCAAAAACTGAAATCTGAGATTTATGTGCTAAACATTTGCAATACTTTGTATTAAAACGGATCAGGCTAACTCTAACCTAAACCTGAAACCCTCCCTAAAACCAAGGCATAGCAAATTCTCTCAATTTGATCAAAGAAGCTAACCAAACTTGCAGGAATTCATGCTTTTCAACAAGCCTAAAAGAACAATTAGAAATAGAGAGAAAAAGGAAATTGACTTACCAGGTTTGAGATTTGATTCAGAACCAAATAAACTTTGATAGCAAATTGGATGTGATGAAAACGTTTGCCAGAGAGAAGGGGCGGTTGCTGATGGGAGGATAGAAACGTAGGTCCTATTCTTTGGTTTCTAATATTACGTAAAGTCATTTTTTTTTTCTTAGGGTTTTAGTAAAATATTGATTCGGGCCAAGATAACTGATTTGTGTGACACGGCCCAAAAATAATGAAACTGACCTAACGGATTGATTAAATCTTCGCTTCAAAATTTATTAATAAAATATATAAAATTAATTATTTATTCAATTAAATTTTGTTTGAGCTTCCCGGTTAACGTTACCTGCCACAAACAAAACATGGTAAAAGAATATCACATTATTTATAGAAGAAACTCATTTAATTGATTCAAATAAATATTAATATTGATTAATATAACTAGCTCATAAAAATGGGGGTGTTACAACCCCTCCCACCTTATAAAAGTTTCGCCCTCGAAACTTAGAACAAGTCGGGATAACCACGCCTCATGTCGTCCTCAGCTTCCCATGTAGCCTCTTCTACTTTATGATTTCGCCACAACACTTTTACTAGAGCTATCTCTTTATTCCGGAGACGTCTAACCTCACGGTCAAGAATTTGTATCGGCTTCTCCTCGTAAGACAAATCATTTTGCACTTCTATTGTGGGGGGTATCAAAACATGCTCTGGATCAGCAAAGTATTTTCTCAGCAACGAAACATGAAAAACATTATGAATGCCAGAGAACTCTCCTGGTAGCGCGAGCTCATAAGCTACCTTCCCAACTCGTCTAGTGATCTCATATGGGCCGGTGAATCTGGGGCTAAGCTTTCCTTTCTTTCCAAATCGCATCACACCCTTCATCGGGGCTATCTTAACGAAAACAAAATCCCCCACTTCGAATTCCAGAGGTCTCCTCCGAACATCTGCATAACTTTTCTGTCTACACTGGGCAGATTCTATCCTTTGTCTGATTGTCTTAATAACTTCTGAGGTCTCATCTATCAACTCAGTCCTTCCTTGTAACTCCTCTTCTAGAACCTTCTTTTCTCCTGTTTCATACCATGATATGGGAGATCTACACCTTCTCCCATACAACGCCTCATATGGAGCCATGCCGATGGTTGCTTGATAACTATTATTATAAGCAAATTCCGCCAAACTAAGGTATTTAGCCCATCCTCCTTGAAAATCAAGAGCGCATGCCCGTAACATATCCTCTAAAATCTGATTTGTCCTCTCCGTCTGGCCATCTGTCTGAGGATGAAAAACAGTACTAAACTTCAACTTCGTGCCCAACGATTGTTGTACACACTTCCAAAAGTGAGACGTAAATCTGGGATCTCTGTCTGAAATAATACTCTTCGGAACACCATGCAATCTAACAATCTCCTGTATATATATTTTTGACAACTTCTCCAAAGAAATACTTGCTGAAATTGGGATAAAATGAGCAGATTTAGTCAATCTGTCCACTATAACCCATATAGCGTCATAACCTCCAGTTGTCTTCGGCAAACCCATAATAAAATCCATTGATATCTCATCCCATTTCCACTCTGGAATCTGGATAGGCTGAAGTTCTCCACTTGGTCTTTGATGTTCAGCCTTAACTTGTTGACACGTCAAACATGCCTGAACGAACTTTGCAACATCTTTCTTCATCCCTGACCACCAAAAGTTTTCCTTCAAGTCGTGGTACATCTTGGTCGAACCAGGATGCATAGTGAATGGTGTCTCATGAGCCTCCTTCAAAATCTGCTTCCTCAACCCCTCGATGTCCGGGATGCACAACCTGTTTTGGAGTAATAATCTCCCATTCTCATCCAAACGAAACTCGGGACATTTTCCCTCCTTGACGCACTCCTTCAACTTAACTAACTCGGGATCAAGTTCTTGCTTCATAGCCATGTCCTCAAATATTGATGGAGTCACTGTCATAGTTGCTAGTCGCCCACCTACAATCTCCAACTCAAAATCTTCAATTTCCTTCCTCAGCCTTGGATCCATTACCATCATGGACATTACTGTTGCAGAAGACTTCCTACTAAGTGCATCTGCTACCTTGTTGGCTTTCCCCGGATGATAAAGGATCTCACAATCATAGTCTTTCACTAGCTCAAGCCACCTTCTTTGCCTCATGTTGAGGTCCTTCTGTGTGAATATGTATTTCTGACTTTTGTGATCAGTGAAGATCTTGCACTGGACTCCATACAAGTAATGTCTCCAAATCTTCAACGCATGTACCACTGCTGCCAACTCCAAGTCATGGGTAGGATAATTCACTTCATAGTCTTTGAGTTGCCGAGACGCATAAGCAATAACTCGTTCATTCTGCATAAGAACTGCTCCAAGTCCCATCTTCGATGCGTCTGTGTAGATAACAAACCCTTCCTTGCCTTCTGGGAGTGCTAAAACGGGTGCAGATGTCAACCTATCTTTCAACTCTTGGAAACTCTTCTCACAACGATCAGTCCACTCAAATTTCTTACCCTTACGAGTCCAGGTAGTCAATGGAAGAGCTATAGAAGAGAAGCCTTCCACAAATTTCCTATAATACCCCGCAAGGCCTAAGAAACTTCGAACTTCTTTCGCATTCTTCGGCCTGCTCCAATCTCGGACAGCTGCTACCTTTGAGGGATCTACCGAAACTCCCTGCTTTGAAACTACGTGGCCAAGGAATGCTACATGATCAAGCCAGAACTCACACTTTGAAAACTTAGCATATAGCTTATGTTTTCTCAGTGTCTCCAGTACTTCTCTCAAGTGTTTTTCATGCTCCTCCTTGGACTCTGAGTAGATCAAAATATCATCAATGAAAACAATGACAAACTTGTCAAGAAACTCCCTAAACACTCTATTCATCAAATCCATGAACGCCGCTGGAGCATTAGTCAGGCCGAAAGGCATAACCACAAATTCATAGTGTCCATACCGCGACCTGAAAGCTGTTTTTGGGATGTCACCTTCCTTGATTCTTAGCTGATGATACCCTGAACGAAGGTCGATCTTGGAGAAAATCACCGCTCCCTTCAACTGGTCAAATAGGTCATCAATTCTAGGCAGGGGATACCTATTCTTGATAGTCACTTTATTGAGCTCTCTATAATCTATGAAAAACCTCATTGTGCCATCCTTCTTTTTCACGAACAATACTGGAGCTCCCCACGGTGAGTAACTGGGCCGAATGAAACCCTTCTCTAGCAACTCCTGCAACTGTTTGTGGAGTTCTTGTAACTCCGCTGGGGCCATTCGATATGGTGCTCTAGATATTGGTGCAGTACCGGGCATCAGCTCAATCTCGAACTCAATCTCTCTACTCGGTGGGAGTCCAGGAAGATCTTCGGGAAAAACATCACTGTAATCCTCCACAATTGGAACTTCAGATAACTGAATGGGTTCTCCATTGCTCTTGTCTACAATGTGAGCTAAGAAAGGTTCACATCCACTCCGAATAAGTCTCCTTGCTTGCAATGCAGAAATCATCACTTTCCCTGATCCTTTTGGCTCCCCAAGAAACAAGAAAGGATTAGACCCTGCAGGCGCAAAACTAACAATTCTTTTTCGGCATATAATTGAAGCACTATACTTCTGCAGAAAATCCATGCCGAGAATCACGTCATAATCTCTCATATCAAGCACGATCAGATCCACAAATAACTCTCTACCTGCAATACTCATTGGCACTGCTCGTAACCAATGAGTCGACAACATGATCTCTCCTGACGGAAGTGCTGTGGTGAACTTACAATCTAACTTATCTTGATGTGCTGCTAACGATCTAGCAAACTCAAGAGATACAAAGGAATGTGTGGCTCCAGTGTCAAATAGCACATTAGCGTATCTATTAAGAACAAGTATCTGACCTGTGACAACACCGGGATTTATCGATGCCTCCTCTTTCGAGATTGTGAACACTCTAGCAACCGGAGCCTCTGGTGGTGCCTCAAGACGCCCTTGCTGGATGGATGGTCCTTCTAGATAAGCCTGCATATTATGGACAGCCGCTGAAGGTGTTGGATTTCTTGGCATGTGAGTGATCTGGTAGTTTTGCTGATTCTTTCTTGGACAATCTCTCGACATATGGCCCTCAAGGCCGCAAGTGTAGCAAGCTCTAGAACCCAATCTGCATTGGCCTGGATGATTACGGCCACAATTTGTACACTGTGGAAATTTCATCTGTTTATTTTGGTGTCCCTGATGGTGACCAGCTCCTTTTCCATCATTGCCCGTGAAGTTTCTCTTCTTGTTACTCTTCGAATTGTTCATGTGTCGATGTGACTGATTCTGTGACTGCGAAGGCACAGGCTGCGGCTGAGCGGGTACTGGACCGCTAGAGATGTAGTACTCCTTTTGAGTTGCTATAAAAACACAGTCAGCTAGTGTAGCTGGAGTCTGATTGCCATTCTCCAAGTGAACTGCTATATCCTTCCTAAGAGCTGCCAGGAACATCCTCACCTTATCTCTTTCCATCGGGGCAGCTGTAGGACAAATACGTAGCAGTCTCTGAAATTTTGCCGCCAAGGTTGTAACATCCATGGTTCCCTGGCGTAGACTCTGAAGCTCATCCCGGTACCTACGAGTGACACTAGCGTTGAAATACTGGTTGGTGAACTCCTCTTTGAACTGCTCCCATGTCATTTGCGCGATGTTGTACCTTGTTTCCACAGTCTCCCACCATATTCGAGCATCCATGGTGAGGCTGTAAGATGCACATCGAACCTTGTCATTATCTGTTAGTTCCAACCCATTAGCAATGCCTTCCACGGTCTTCAGCCATCCCTGAGCAGCTAGAGGGTCTGGACCCCCCTCGAAATCCGCGGGCTTGATCTTCCTCCATGTGATCATCAAAGGTTCTTGTCTCGGTGCTCCGTGTCCCCTAGCATGATTATTTCCAGCATTTCCCCCTTCACCACCGCCCCTTTGATTGTTCGCGGCCAAACAGTCGATGGTTTGTTGCTGCTCCTGCAACTGTCTCTGAAGTTGCGCTACTAATCCTGCCAAATCCTGCTCGTGATTGTTTGCTTGCTCATTGTTGCTACCAACTGGACGACCACGAGTTCTCCTCATTTTCTTAAGGCACCTAAATATGAACTTTTATTTATGTACCATACACAATACAAAAGGCAAAACATTCTCACTTCTGTTCTCTATCTAATAAAACTCTTCTTGCTCAAGCACAGAATTTTAAACCTAACTTTAAATACTTACTTGAAAGATGATGAACACGTGTACGGTGACAAATGAAGTTACGGGACAACCTGGGCTCTGATACCAAATTTGTAACGCCCCTCTCAGGGTTAAAGGAGACGTCACATAAATTACTACTATATATAAAAAAAACTGCAATATAACGGCCGTTTATTTAAGAAATAACCCTGATAAAAATCTCAAATATAACAAAATTATAGCTCCAAATAAAAACTCAAAAAAATTCTAGTTATCACCAGCAAATGTGATAACCGCCTGGATCCAGGAATTTACTAAAACTTCAAAACCTCAATTATATAAAGTAATAATAATCTTTTTATTCTCACTGAAATACTGGAGTAAAATAAAACTAGCTAGAAGCCGCCAAGGTCGTTCCCGTTAACTCATCTTGGCACGCGTTCCACTCCCTCATCATCTTCCTAGGCCTTGGCCTTACCCTTAGTATCTGTACATGCGAAGAAAGAAAACTGATAAGCTTTACGCTTAGTAAGTCACTATGGATCCACAAAAAATATCTGAGAAGTCTATGCTAATTTATCAATAGATAAATTTAGGCTATAAGCATGCACTAAACAAACAACTAACAAGTAGCTTCTCAAATAAATTCTGAGAGAGATCCCAAAAGAAATATTTTCTAAAATAATTTCTCAAAACTGCTAGAGAGAACTCAAAATTTCTTTCTCAAAACATCTCTGTAAAACTTTCTGAAAGAGATCTCAAAATAACTTTCTGTAAAACTCTTTGTGGCTAATTTTAACTGTGGGCCCGTGATATGTACTCAAAGGCGCCAATCCGACAGCTCAGGGGAGCGACCCACAAAACATGTCGGACTCTCTGAAACTGATAAACTGATAATCTGAGGGAACTTGTTCCCGAGTACATATCACCTGATCTTTCACTTTAAATATTAGTTCTTTTTATAGTGATGTTTGGGTAAAAAAAAACATCATTAAAATCTTGAAATAAAGCACTGACATAATCTTGACTATGCCAGATAATAAACATAACTTAATGCAACAATTTCAATAACTCATCAAATAATTCACCCAGCTCACGTAATAGCAAATAGTCTAAATTCATCTACTAAGAATCAACCAGACTTCTTTCTTTCATTTGGTTGAACAAACATGTACAAGTGGTAGTGAACTTACCTGATAGAAGCTGAACGCAATTTACTCAAACAAGTGTGGCAACTTGATAACGTCTTCCAGTAGGCTCTTCTTTGAAATCTTTAATTAAATATTAAATATAACATTATGCTTAAATCTTGTTATACTATAAGCAAAGCTGAAACAGTTTGTACTGAGAATCAATACTCTTTAATTTAAAAATCTATATTTCTGTTAAAAGTGCCGACCCAAAAGTCCAATTCAGTAGCCTTTTTGCTATTACCCCAGTTAGTTGCTTAAAAGAAAATAAGAACTATTTGACTTTGTTGTTTTAGAAATCCGGTTAAGCACCAACCGTGATTATTAATTCTGGATACAAGAACAAAAAAAAAATGGAATTCTTCTATCTTGCTTCTACGGAAAACTAAAAGAACACAACTTTTAACATATGGAAACCTTTTTATTTACAAGAACCTGCTAGATGGAGCTTGAAAGTGCAGGGAATGATTTCACAATGAGCAAAAACTGAAATCTGAGATTTATGTGCTAAACATTTGCAATACTTTGTATTAAAACGGATCAGGCTAACTCTAACCTAAACCTGAAACCCTCCCTAAAACCAAGGCATAGCAAATTCTCTCAATTTGATCAAAGAAGCTAACCAAACTTGCAGGAATTCATGCTTTTCAACAAGCCTAAAAGAACAATTAGAAATAGAGAGAAAAAGGAAATTGACTTACCAGGTTTGAGATTTGATTCAGAACCAAATAAACTTTGATAGCAAATTGGATGTGATGAAAACGTTTGCCAGAGAGAAGGGGCGGTTGCTGATGGGAGGATAGAAACGTAGGTCCTATTCTTTGGTTTCTAATATTACGTAAAGTCATTTTTTTTTCTTAGGGTTTTAGTAAAATACTGATTCGGGCCAAGATAACTGATTTGTGTGACACGGCCCAAAAATAATGAAACTGACCTAACGGATTGATTAAATCTTCGCTTCAAAATTTATTAATAAAATATATAAAATTAATTATTTATTCAATTAAATTTTGTTTGAGCTTCCCGGTTAACGTTACCTGCCACAAACAAAACATGGTAAAAGAATATCACATTATTTATAGAAGAAACTCATTTAATTGATTCAAATAAATATTAATATTGATTAATATAACTAGCTCATAAAAATGGGGGTGTTACATTACACCCCCCACAAAAGCAAATGAACATGATAAGGAAAAGCAACTCACGGAGGCACTATTCTGAAGGATCCTCGAGTTGAAGCCCTCATCATTCATCCGGGCGAGAGCAAGCCTGTCAGCCGAAGGCATCACTTGGCTCATCAATGTCGAAGGGATGAGGTTACCTTCCAGGATCGAGGCCCCCCTCGGCACGATTGCCTCTAACTTCTCCCGGCCGAAAAAGTCTTGGTGGACATGCTCCTGAGGGATGGGGCCGGAGGCATGCACCTCCTCCTCGATGAGAACAACATCAGCGGCCGGCTGCTTGCCGGAGTCCGCGGCCTTCAGCTTCTTGGACGGGGGCTCAACCCCCTTACCGCCGTTCTTCTTCTTTAGGGCCCCCTCACCCTTGGAACTCCCGGCACCAGCACCGGCGGCAGCAGCTTGGGAGGGCTCCAACCTGGCGGAAGCACCCACCAGCTTCGGACCCGAGGGGTCCTCCTTCTTCCCCTTTGTCTTCTTCAGGGCAAAAAGGGAGTTCACATCCATATTGTTACCTGCAAAGACACGACACCAAATGATTAGGCCGAAGGGGATCAACTACAGTGACATGGATTGAACACAAAAAATTTCAAGTACAAAACAGATAACCCTTCGGTAATCACCTCTGACGCTCTCAAATACACGATCTATCGGAGGGTATCTTTCATCCTCCGAGCCCCTCGGCCGATACTGCCGGAAGCCAAGCTTGAACAGTTTATCCGGAAGGGTAACGTCTTTGATCTTCACATGCTTCTCAGACCCTTCCGGCTTTGTGGCAAGCTTCTTGCCATTCTTCTCGAGGGCAGCGCCCCCTACCTTCGGATGCCGCCGAAAGCTATTGCGAAGCGGGGTCGAAAAGGGGTTCTCCTCCAAGCGGACGTAGCAAAACTTATCCTTCCATCCCTTGTGGGACGAAGGGACATCATCAAACAGCCTGAACTCCGGGAGCTGCTGCATGTTGGCGAAGCCCTCTACGTTCGAATGCTCCCCCCCAGCATAGGTTGAAGGACATAAAGAACTGGCTGAGGGTAGGTGGGACCCCTTGGCTCCGGCACAGAGAGAGAAAGCCAGCCAGATAAGAGTGGCTATTGGGCATTAGCTGACAGGGGGCCAGCCCCACGAACCTTAGGTACTCCAACAGGAAAGGGTGGAGCGGAAACCGGAGCCCCATCTCCACTGATAGAGTATGGACGGCGAAGCAGCCCTCGGGTGCGTACAGTAACGAATAACCTGGCCCCGGTTCCACCACGCGTATCGAAGGGCCGACAAGAATCTGAGTGGCCTGACATTCGGCCGGGGATGCTCTTGTCTTCAACTCCAGGGCAGCAGTGTTCAAAAAAGAGTGGCCCTCGGGGATACCTACCGGCCGCCCGACGTCTACGACTGCTTGCGTCTTCTTCGGTACAACCTTGTCCCTCTTCTTCCCTGGGGCCACCCTGAGAGGCGTCAGGTTTAAAGGCTGAGAGGTGCTGGCTTCACCAGCGTTACGTGCAGGGAGGATGGCAACGGTAACTCACATCCTTTCCTTCTCCTCCTCTTCTTCGGCAGTCTGCATCGCAACGGCCAACTCCTCGTCTTCTTCTACCTGCTTAAAGTCCTCAGCCTCGGCTTCGGCAGTGAGGTCTTTCTGTACTTCCATGGCCAGGGCAGCATCATCACACGCCAAAGGCTGCTCACTTGAAGATTTAACGTCTGAGTAGCTCTCAACCTGGACAAACGGCTCCCTCGAGATGTCTTGGGAATCACTTGTCGGAGACATTTTGAATACTAAAGTCGAAGGGTCCAAGAAAAGAAAATTTTCTAAGGATCTAAGGCCACAGAAGCTAAACTTACTAATATAGCGAAGAGCGGGTGAAGAACTGACCTCGGAAAGAATGATTTGATCGAAGGCAGGTGTTTATCTCTCTAGAAAAATTGCCAGAGCTTCGCTACAACGAGAAATGCGTAAGGGAAAGTGAAGTCACGCCTAGGGTATTTATAGACCCCCCAATCCGGGCTTGGGCCAAAAACCGGGCCCCTGGTCACAGAATAATCATTGCTGACCGTCGCCCCAGCCAACCGATGACGCCCGCCTGAGAAAGCCAACGGGAACACGCCACGTGGACCCCACCTGCAACGGCTATATTCCAATGGCCATATCCCAACGGCTCTCTTTTGCAGATTAAGGCGCCCTCATCTGGCACCCCTCGTGCAACACTATGCATGCCTTCGAGCTAACTCCTTCAGACTCCTTCATCGAGGGGAGCCCCCGACTTAACAACGGGAAAACCCCTCAGGACCCCCTGACCCTCATCATGTTGAGAACCAGGAAACCCCCCTTCAAACCCTTACCAATGGTTGGCCTCCAACATAAAATAACGGGACCCCTCAGCCTCCAACTTATCAAAAGCTAGGGAACCCCATCGGCAACACAAACACAAGATCTATCACCTATGTCAACACGCCCTCAGTCCTCAACAACTAGGGGACCCCCTCGGCATCCCCAGGATATCACCAAGGCACCCTCGGCAAATCAAAATAAGCAAGCCCTCAGATCACGGGTAGCCTTCGGCCTCTACACTATACTCAGACCAAGGCTTAACCCTTTCGATTCATCATTGGGGGAACTCGGTGCACTCTTTTTCCCTCATTAGATTTTTTTCCCACAGGGTTTTTTCTAATGAGGTTTTTAACGAGGCATCCCCCCAAAATGAAACGAAAAGAGTCAAACCCTCGGCCCTATGCTGAAAATATGCAAGGCTCTACTCCTCTTCAACACATTGCATGTGCCTCAAGGAGTGGGGAACTGGAGAACCCCTCCGGGAAAATCACAAAATGCTAAAAATTCTCACAAAGCATCAACATCCTTCAGTCCCAAAAAGTGGGGGACTAAAGGACTGCCCTCAGCAAACTCGCGCGCAAACGCAAATCTCTCACAGGTTTACAAACTACAAAGCAAACACCGGCACGAACACAATTACTCCTTTTCCCTCAAGTACCTTTCGGCAAAAGGAGTGAGGGACTCATGATGGAGTATATGGCCCAGGGACCCCCGATCCACATACTTCCACTACTGCAACCAGACCCAACAGGACCAAGCGGGCCAAGCCCAGCAAGACAAAGCTCTAAGCAGCCCACCATACGCACATGGGAGTGCCTTTGGCCCCGTGGCCAAAGGCTACCAGTGACAGAATGGGTCTCAGAAACATCACACGAGAACAAGGCTTAAAAACCAAGCCTTCGGCACTAGGAGCCCTCGGTACTAGGAGGCCCCCGGTACGAAGAGCCTTCGGCCTGTCATCTACTGTCGAAGGCATCCTCATCTACAGAACATCCTCTCCACATGCGCCTGATTCGCCGTATCAAGTACAACGTCACATCCAACCACCGCATTTAATGCGGCCACATGCGAATGCCGGTGCCACCCCGATTGAGGTGACCCTCGGCCGTCGGATGCTTGACATGTGTCCCTGTCTAGCATTTATTGCTGTTATAAATAGCACCCCTTTCCCCATTTTTAAACAACGCTGAATTCATATCAAATACATATTCTCTCTCTTACTTATTTTGCTCTGACTTCTCTCTAAGTTACTCCCCGGAGTAACCCCTCGGATAAGCTACACGCCGGGTACACCATCCATCAAATATAATCGATAATAATAATAATAATAATAATATAACCGCTAATAATACAATGTTTCCAATTTGCTATGAACGTTTCTGATCTTAATGTTTCCGATCTGATTTGAATGCTTCTGATCTGATCTGAATGTTTCCGATCTGATCTGAATCTTTCTGATCTGATCTGAATCTTTTTGATCTGATCTGAATTTTTCTGATCTGAATTTTTTTGATCTGATCTGATCTGAATAAAATAAATATAAGTAATACTCCCTCCGTCCTAATTTGTTTTGCAAAATTTCCTCTTTTGTTGTCCAAAAATGATTTTCCACTTTCTATTTTAGGTATGTAAATAAGAATAAAGTGACAAATGTACCCTTACTTTTACTTTTTCCCCATTAACTTAAAGACATCTACTTTTAGAAGATGGATAACGGTGTAAAAAGCAAGCAACATTTATTGTCATTTCTTAAATCTTATGTCGGTCCAAGTTTGCAATTCAATTCGGGAAAGAGGGAGTAAGTAATAAGAATAAGAAAAATGCTACAAGTACAAACACACTTACAAAATACTTACAAACAAGTGATGTGACTATTCTAATTATCATTGATATAAAAGTGTTGTAAATATGATTAATGCGTTAAATAATGTGATGATGAATACACTCCAAGAATAACACCAACATAAGCTGTTTATATTCAGCAAAAGATGCCACCTGCTCCAGGGATGACTGAGTTCACGATGGCTGGCCAGCAGAGTACTTTCATGGATGAGCCATTCCTCCTGAAGTTTTGCTCCGACGAGCTTCGGATTGCTTCCGAATTCTTCTCTTATTGGCTCCCCTTTCTCTCCAGAGATCTCTGTCACTCCTGTACGCAGACTCTCGTCGATCGCATCCGATTAATCGATCCTGGTACTTTTTGCCTCTTTTATTACCAGGTCCATACACGATACATACAACGCGTGTTCTTGAAGCAATTTCATATATTTGATGTGTTTTTTGCATGTTTGGTACATTTACATTGGGCAGAAAGCTAACTATAGTTGGTTTCGGTGTGAACCTTGGTTCTTCATCTTTAAGTGTATATTTTTCCGCCTTTTTAATAACTTAGGTTTTTAGATGTTAAGTTATCTTTATAAGTGGTTTTAATGTGTTCATCTAGTTTAACCTACACCCAAACAATCATTTTACTTCATTTACCAATTACCAGGGTTGAACTATTAACTTTCCAAAAGACATTTTAATATATGCATGATGCATCTAAATTCACCGAATTTTACTCAAGCAAGGTTGTCTCTGAAAGTCCACCAAGTTTACTTTAGGGTTTCTGGAAATCACATGAACAACGTCAGTACTATTTTGAGTATTTTCTGATCGTAAGTCTATTGTATGTTCGCAGAAGCCATTCCAGATGAAGATCACTTGAAGGACAGTGATACATTTGCTGTTTCAACACCAGAGAATACGCGCATGAGGGGATATGATAGAGATCAACATAATTGTGATTTGCATTCTGTTGGAAGATGGGAGGAAGTTGTGGATTCGAATGGTATAACAGACACAAATTCAGTGGGGAGTTGGAAGGAAGATGCCGGTTTGAATGACACAGCTGATACAAATTCACTGGGGAGTTGGAAGGATGGATTAAATGGGTCTCTGGAGCTGATTAGTGACGTGTCCGTGAATGCAAGCCTGAGTGGGAAATTGATAAATGCTGTACCTCAAACTTCTGCTGAGGGATCAACAAGTGACACATTAAGCTCACCTGCGTCAGTGCGTAACCAGAAAGAAAAGATGTCATGGGCAGATATGGCTCAAGAGGACGAGCTTGAGGCAGAGGATAAGACCAAGTCAATTGGTTCTATTGGGCTGTTAGGTAATGAGAACACTTCAGCTGTGGAGGGAACAACTGAGAAGGTGTCTATGCCAAAGGTGAAGCTCTCAAGGGAGAGAAGGGAGCAGATCCGTTTTCATAATGTGAAAAGGAAAAAGGATTTCATATGTTTGGAAAAGGTTAATGGGAAAATTGTGAATATACTTGGTGGTTTGGAACTACACACTGGAGTTTTCAGTGCCGTTGAGCAAATTAGGATAGTTGATTATGTGGAAGCACTTCGAGAGAAGGGAAAAAATGGACAACTAAAAGGTTGGTGGAAGTTTATGCTACATTATTTTCCATATTAATCCTGTTCTAATTTTTATTAGATACGCACATAGTAGCTTCTTTTCCATCATTTGCAATGGAGCCAAAGATTCATTATTTTTTGGCTTGAGATTATGATGGAATAAAGCAAAATGGCTCACTAAACTGTCTGCGCTTCTTTGTTATGGAGCAGCAGTCAGTCCATGCAATCTTGGACGCGATTTTCACTATGGGTCATCCGGAAACAGTCTCTCTATGCTTTAGTACAGGGGTAAGACTGCGTACATCCGACCCCCCCTTACCCCACCGTAGGTGGGAGCCTTTGCGGCACTGGGGTAAATGAAAATGATGATGACGCACATAGTAGCTTCCTTGTTTTGGCTTACATATAGATGCAATTGTTTGTTATCACTTCCAATAACTTGCTCTATGTATCCGCAAATGGTTATTTAGTTTTCAACTTATCAAGAAAACTATAAATAGTCTATCTTTTGTGTTTCTAAAATGCTAGATGGTAGCTAGTTCATACATCTTCCATGCATTCTTCCTAAACATTGATTTAGTTAAACTATGATAAGTGCATGGACATCTTTGGATATAATTTTTGTGTTGTAAATGAATCTCATGGCATTTAGGCTTCTGCATGGTTTGAACTATAAAGTTAGCTGGCCCTAGTTTGATAATGTGTGCACCACTTTTGAACCTTACGCTGAATTACCTCTAATTAGAGATGTAAGCAAACATAAATGAAATATCTGTGTCAGTGGTTCCATGTACCCAGAATGTGGGCGTGGATCTGTTTTGTGATGTAGGTTAAGCCATATTTTCACCCAGCTAGGCCATATCTCTAAATTTATTATCTTACCTGCACAAAACAACCTGTAGAGCTATATTGTATCTTATATTGCTCCTGGAATATGTTTAGGAAGCGAGAGCTAGCCCTAGTCCAGGGGTGCGTTCGAGAGAGTAATTCGGAAAGAGAAAGAAAATCGGTAGAATTAAATGAAGCTATTCTTATTGTTAAATTAACCGGTGCCCGACCTTGTCAAGATGCCCAAATTAATTCTCCAATAAATACTTTATTCCATAACAAACCCCTTAATATAGAGAAGCTGCTTAGAGCTTTGAGGAAAGGAAACACAAGTTGGAAACAAAACTAGAATCAAGAAATATAACTAGAATCGAGAAATATCATAGTATTAGGAAACATTATCCCTATTTCCCAGTTCAACCATATTAACTAACTAGAATAAGGAAATATAATAGTAATCGGATACAATATCCTTATTCCCAAGCTCAGCCTCTTCCATTTGTTGACTCTTGGGCCTTTGGAGTTTGGACTCATTGTATGTCGTTTGTAAGTGTGGCCCCAAAAGGAGTCCACAACATCACTCCTAAGTAGCACGGAAACGTAAAACGGGAAATGTGAGAAACATAATTTCTAAAAAGTATAGGATACAAAGCGTATGGATAACACATATTTTTTTCATTTAACTTGTTTAATGACCCAATAATTAAAACATTATACATGCTCAAATTTAGAAATCATTACATATTAGTACATAATTAAACATAAAATGACAAAATGCAATACATTTCTAGCAATGCATTGTGTTGTGAAAAGTCACAATGTTGCTAAGACGAAATACCACAAAAATTAACTAAAGATTTTAAAAAAGACACTGTTTTCCATCAGAGAATCTCTTTAAAAAGGAATAAAATGGTAACCCAAGGTTTTTGAGATGCTAGTTATTTAGGGAAACGAGTTTCGCAATTCTTCTTAATTACGGAAACGGACCCGAAATAGGAATTTGAAGTTTCTGAGTTTCGACACGCTTCTGAGTTTCCGAAACAAGGAAACGTGAGGCACGGAGAGAGGTTGCTTAGAGCTTTGAATAGTCTTAGGAAAGAATATCCTTGTTTCCAAGTTCAGCCATATTAACTAACTAGAACAAGGAAATATAATAGTATTAGGAAACAATATTTTATTCGTAAGTTTAGCCACTTTCTTTGTGTGTCGTTTGTAAGTGTGGCCCCAAAAGAAGTCCACAACAGAATATTATTGAATGGGTATCTTTTTATTTAAGTTCCAACTATATTTCTCCATGAGAAACAGCTTTCTTCCCTACTAACTCCCCTGGTTGGAAATCTTTGAGCTTTGATTGATTAATTCTATCTTTTGGTCTTTAGCAAAACCTATGATATGCGAGATGTAATACCTATACCAAGAACCATAAGAACTAAGAAGATAATACTACGTATCTTAATTTGGTTGGATTATATTTTCTGATTACTCGCTGTGTAATTAGATTTTTTCTTCAGATTTTAACATTTCCATTAACGTTTTTCTTAAGATGTGTGTTGGCTTTAATGATAGTAGATCTTATTTAGAGTGCATCTTCCATTTTTTATGTTTCTACTGATCGGTTAATAATTGGGTTGGTGGCTCATTATTTGCACTTCAGCCCTTGATGTTTTCTTACTTTTATTTACTTCTGTTTGTAACAGAGCGTACTTACACTGCACCCCAGAAGTGGATGAAAGGCAAAGGACGCATAACTATCCAATTTGGCTGCTGTTACAACTATGCAATTGTAAGACTTTCTACATCAGCATTTTTATCCTTTTCGAGGCCTTATATCGCAAATGTGATTCATGCGATGGTAATAGCATAGCTAATGCGTCTCCCATGCGTTGTTTTATCCTTTCATTATGCTCTCTTCGTTTGTCTTGGGGTTTTGAGGATGGTTTATACTCTGTTTCACACTCAAAACCTAAAGTTGCACATATTGATGATCTCATGATCGAATTGCTTCATGGCAGGACAAAAATGGCAACCCTCCTGGCATCCTGAGAGATGGGAGTGTCGATCCCATACCTGAGCTTTTTAAAGTCATGATCAGAAGGCTTGTTAAATGGCATGTAATGCCTCCAAACTGCATTCCTGACAGTTGTATCGTGAACATATATGAAGAGGGAGATTGCATACCACCACATATTGACAATCATGATTTTGTTCGCCCTTTTTGTACTGTGTCATTCCTTAGCGAGTGCAATATAGTTATTGGGTCGAATTTAAATGTGGAGGGTCCCGGTCAGTTTGCAGGCTCCATTGCGATTCCATTGCCAGTTGGGTAAGTGTATTTACATTATTATGTTCCTTTAAGCCTTCATTAATATTTCAGGATGTAGAAGATTGTTGTTTCTCCAGATCTGTTCTTGTCATAAATGGAAAGGCTGCTGATTTGGCTAAACATTGTGTTCCCTCAGTTCCTATGAAAAGGTAGAATTAGATACTTCATGTCACAATTTGTTGGGGAAATGAAACTTTGTACCCTAGTTTTTATCCAAATTCGAGTTTTTACTGTATCTACAAAATAATTAATATTTGGTCCCCAAATTTAGAAAAAATGTTAATTAGTATAAATAATGGAGTGCAAATTCCAGTTTAGAAGAAAAAATGGGGTGCAAATTTCATACATATATATATATATATATATATATATATATATATATATATATATATATATATATATATATATATAGGTTTTGGTTCAAATTCGAGTTTTTACTGTATCTACAAAATAATTAATATTTGGTCCCCAAATTTAGAAAAAATGTTAATTAGTATAAATAATGGAGTGCAAATTCCAGTTTAGAAGAAAAAATGGGGTGCAAATTTCATATATATATATATATATATATATATATATATATATATATATATATATATATATATATATATAGGTTTTGGTTCAAATAAGAACATGATCTTATGAGAGAAATGAGAATGAATCTGGACCGTTAGATTTACTTTAAGTGAAATTCAATGTGCATCATATGAAACTGTAATGTGCATTAGTTGAAATTGAAATGTGCAGCACAAATGGTACGATAGTGGCATTATGTGAAACGGAAATTGTGCATTAGGTGAATTTGAAATGTGCACTAGGTGAAACTGAAATGTGCAGTATAAAGGGTACGATGTGATGTTATTTTTGTACCTTTTATTCCGCACATTTCTGTTTCATCTAATGCACACTTGAGTTTAAATTTTTATTCTGCACATTTCAATATCGTCTAATGCACATTTTAGTTTCATCAAATGCACATTTCCGTTCCACATAATACAATCCAATGGTCCAGATTCGTTCTTATTTCTCTCCTGAGAGTCCGTTCTTACTGGAACCACTCCATATATATATATATATATATATATATATATATATATATATATATATATATATATATATATATATATATCAAATCTGGATGAATAAATGGGGTGCAAACTCGAATTCCCTCTAATTTTATTCACTGGTCTGTTTTTTTGCATGATGTTCTAACACCTTATTTACATTGATTTCATGAAGGATCTCAATTACATTTAGGAGAATGGATGAATCTAAACGGCCTGTTGGCTATGCTCCTGAACCTGATTTACTGGGAATTCAGCCTCTACCGTACGAAGTGGACCTACCCAAGGAAAACTCTAAACATTCTGTGAAGAAACAGGCTGTGAGGCAAGAAGGGAGCTCAGTACCCCGCTCCTCAGGTCGAAGTCGGCAAAGGCCCATGAAGAGGTGATGGGTTGGAGTGGGTTTGAATTTGTAGCTTGTACATCCTCATCTATTTAAAAAAAACTGCCAGTCTTGAAATTTAAGATGATCGATCATATGTAGTGAAGAAATGAGAGAACAGGGAGTCTATAATTGTAAAGTTTAGGGTCAGAGATTCAGAGTTCATGCCAAAATGCACTTTTTAGTTATGCTTCGGTATTTTCAGATTGTAGGGTCGGTCCCTTGAATTAACCATTTCTTCCCCCGAGAAAAGCCATAAATTTGAGCTTTAGTCATTTGTAACTATTCCAAAACGATTGCTCCTGAACTTATAGTTGTCTAATTTGGGTTTAATTGACCCCAAAAAGATCCTCACTTAAACATTTGAATGTGTGAAATTTAACTCTTTCATTCGACCTAATCTGAGTCTCCATTGGGCAAATTAGGGGCCCAAACTAGACTGGACAAACTAGGGGATGGAAACAACCAAATAAAACAACAATCCAATCACGTTTTGGTGTCATGTTAAATTTGGTTATAACTTGCCCAAAAAGAGTATTCAAGAGTAGGGGTGGACTGGGCCGGTTCTGGGCCGGGCTCCGGGTCTAGGGATGGATTGGGCCTGGTCGGCTCGGTCCGGTACTGTTTAGTACCAAACTGGACCGCCAACTAGGACCGGTACCGGTCCATGGGCCCGAACCTGGGGTAGTGGGGGGTGGGCTACGAGATAGGGAAATAGGGGACTGGCCGGTCCGGGAACGGTAATGGTTACATTTTTAATTTTTTAATTATTAAATTGGGCTGCTCCTAGGCTTCCTAGCTGTTGCCAAAGTGCCAAACGGCTCTCTATAGCCGTTGGAGGGGGGGGGGGGGGGGGGGGGGTTTGGGGGTGGGGTACAAAAAAATATACTCCCTCCGTCTCGTTAGAAGGTTCTCGTCCACTATTTTCATGGTCAACTTAAATCATTTTTAATCTTTTACTTTATAAATCAAATTTTTGCCAAATTTACATTTTTTTATCAGGCTTTGTAGCGGTTTTAATGTAGTTTCTGAATATGTTAATTTTATTTACTAAAAATAAACAGATTGTGAACAGGGATTAAATTGCTTTATCGACAGTCAAGCATCGTAAACCGTTCACGGGAACCTTCTAGGCTTCTAGCGGGACTGAGGGAGTATGATACTATATATATACTCTTATTTTCTAAACATTTTTTACACCTATTCTTCAATTCTTCTTACTCTCTAATCATCTTCATCTTCTTCAATTCTCTCTACACCTATTAATATATATCATATCTATTTAAATTAGTTATACAATTATTATAAATCTACTTATATATTTATTATCTACTTATAAATACATACAGAGTATATTATATTACTTATATTTATTATCTACTTAATTTATACTTATTATCTACTTATTATATACGAGTACTTCTTATTTACATATTACATCTAATTAATATATAAGTATATATATTAAAGTATTATATATAAGTGTATTACTCATAGAATTATTACTATAGATTTATTATCTACTTATTAATACATATATCACATCTACTCATATTTATTACTCTCTCCGTCTCGAAAAGGTTGGTCAAATTTCTTTTTTTGGATATCCCAAAAAGATTTGTCATTTTCATTGAAAGTAAGGAATATGTGGCTAAAATTAATTCTATCTTCTCTTCACAAATTTCAACCACACAATTTTTACTTTATTAATCCACGTGAAAATCAACTTTGACCAACCTTTTCGGGACGGAGGGAGTACCTATTTAATATATACTTAATATCTACTTAATATCTACTTGTTATTTAATTATATTTACATATATTACATCTAATTAATATATTAAGTATATACAAATTAAAGTATTAAATATAAGTGTACTACTCATCTTATAGTAGTATACATATATATTATATACTATAAACAATATATTATATATTAGTTACACTTTAATTAATATTAGTTAAATTTATCCTATTACTTACACACTCACACTCCCATTAATTAGTATACATTCATACATTTTTCCTATTTGTTACATTTTTCATTAATATTACTACACTTGTTAGATTAAAATATAAAAGTAGTTGGAATTTTAGTTAAATAAACTATTATACTAGTTGGGATTTTAATTAAGTTTACTACACTTGTTAGATTGGATTATTAAAGTAGTTGGAATTTTAGTTAATTAAACTATTAAAGTAGTTGAAATTTTAGTTAAGTTTACTACACTTGTTATATTAACCGTTGTTGGATTAAAGTATTTATTAAACTACTTGGAATTTTGCTTTAATTTTACTAGTCACATTTTAATAAAAAAATTGTAATTTTTTTTAGTATAATCACATTATTACTTTCATTTTAATATAAAAGTTACATTTTAAGTATCGTAACAAATTACTTACATTTGTTATTACTTGCATTTGCGGTAGACATTCTGTAGATATGAGTAACCTCCAACGCAACCGAAAGAAGGAGATTGAGAGGAATCATTCTACTTCACGCAAAGGTAAAGGACATATCGGGTCTTCTTCTCAAAGTCGAGAATCCCGAGATGATTTTGAAACGGATTATCAACGCAGAGATGCGGATGCGATGTCCGACGCGCAACTACAACAACTATTGGCCCAACAAGATGAACACTTTTATCAACAACTATATAACTCAAGAACTTAGTATCGCCCCCACCGCCACTTCATGGAGTAAACAACAACCGATGGTGCCGAAGATTCCGACTGATTATTAGAAAATGTATTTAATGTTTTAATTTTTTCTCAATTCTCAATTGTAGTTCATATTTCAAATAAATATACTTTCACTTTTTTTATATCTAGCACTTCTTGAATTAAATTTTAAACAAGATTAAAAAAAATCCCCAACCTGGCCCGACCAAGCCCGAGACCCGGGCGGTAGACCAGCCCGGTCCGGTCCCGATGGAATCTCGGGCCGGTACCGGGCCTTAAGCCCAGAATATTAGTACCGCTCGGGCCCGTCCCGAGGCCTGTCCTGGACCGGTCCCGTCCTGAGGCCCAGACCGGACCGAACCACCCCTACCTCAGGATGAGCCTTAATATGCCTATCGGCGCCGTCGTATCCTTGTAAAATCCCCAAGTTAATATCTTTCTTGGTCATTTGCAAACCTCGATATTTGCAAAGGTATGAGAGAAAATATTCGGTATAGCGTACCGAACCACCCTTACCTCCAACGGCTCTATTGTCGGCCGTTGGCAACGGATAGGAGCTAGCAGCCAGCCCAAATGGATTACAAGAGCTATTTTTTTTAAATTATGTCCGTTAGGCCTGGACCGATCGGACCGGTTCACTTTTACACAGCCCGCAGCCTGTCCTTTCACGCGACCGGTTCGGGCCTCAGTCTTGGTCCTGATCCTGGTTCACTGGACCGGGCTGGGTCCCAACAGTGCCGGTCCGGGTCGGGTCCCGAGTCGGGCCGACCCGACCCTGCCCACCCTTATTCAAGAGCATAGTTTAATTTTACATCTGTGTATTTAATATTGAGCTGGTAGTGTCCCATTATTCTCATGTGGAACAGTTAGTGATGTTTCTGGGACAAACCGTTTCCTTATGATCTTGCCGTCCCAAAAGACTGAATTTGAGCTGGTGCAAAAGGCGACTTAGAAGCAGAAATTGAATTTGAAGAGTTGGACGGCTTGAGTTAAAAGACATTGAAGAAGTGTTCCTCAATCTGAAGAGACTTGACTCGATGGTTTTTTTTCACGTTGTGGGCAGGTACAATGCTGGAGCCAGTTGGTCTAGGAGTCACGGATGGTGAGATCGACTCTTCTTCTCTTTCCTAATTCCTATGCCCATTTTCTATAAGAAGTCCTCACTTTCAATTTTTTAAATGTCTTAAAATGAAGTTCTCACGTCTATAAAAAAAGTTTTTAATAAGAATTGTTACAACTTACAACTAAGAGCGATGGATTATAGGGGTATCCAAACATATAATTAAATGGAAAGATTGAGCTATAGAGAGGAAGAAGATGAATAGTGATATTGCTTGTGTACTAATGATTGAGAGAAATAATGGGTTACAAGTGGCTCCAAAAGGAGTATAAATAGAGAACTAATGGGTCGGTCCGCTAATATGGGGCCGATAGGCCCAACTACATAAAAGACTAATCTAGTACATACAGATGATATATGAACAGTACAATAATACAAAGGACATCCGATAAGCGTGTGTGGGCCGCTGTCCAAGCCCAATAGTCATGAGACCCGGGGGTCCGAGTCTATATACTCTATCAGGAGTCCCCCACTCCCTGAGTCGAGAGTACTCGAGGCGAAAGGGAGTAGAACTGTGTGCTGATCTGTCGTCGTATGGGGAGTAAACTTCGTGAAATTTTTTGAATTTCTGCTTTTTTGGTTAACGAAGGCGCTAACTCCCCAGCTCTTCCAGTCCCCCACTCCTTGAGGCACGTGTAATGAGGTGAAAAGGAGTAGAGTGATGCATGTCTTCAATAGGGGGCCAAGGGTCGACACCTTTTGATCCACAATGGGGAGATGCCTTGTTAAAAACCTCATTAGGAAAGAATCCAGTGGGAAAAAATCCTAATGAGGGAAAAAGAGTACATCGGATGCCCCCAAAATGAAGCAAAAGGGGTGAGCCCTTCAGCCTAAGTGTGGAGCTGTAACGGTGTCCGTCTGCTGAGGAGATGACCGAGACCAGTCTCTAGATGTGAGTAGCTCAGCATGATAATTAGTTCCGTTCATCAAATAAAGATGACTAAGAGATAGGTCGAGTGACCGTCCATAATATGATGTCCAGGTCATCAAATAAAGTGACTGAGACATGTGGCTGAGAGACCTATAAGAAGTCCAAGCCATCAAATAAAGATGACCAGGAGAGACGGCTAAGTGGCCGGTATGATGTCATCATTTAGTTGCACCTATGCATTCAAATAAAATTGTTATAATTTCTTGAGCTTATAATTTGTATTGGATTTGGGCCTAAATTAAGTTACCTCAAATTTCCAAGCTGCAGCTCAAGCTAGGTTTCTATGCTTAGTTGGAGCGTGGCACGCATAAAGGACTGAACCTACCGCTGAGGGATTGCAGTTCATTTCCGATAGCTAGAGGGCACACATAACTCATACAAAACATAGAAACTAAAGTATGCATTTGATAACATTTGGATTGGGAGCTTACTATTCACACTCTTTTGACGTGACCCGATGGCGCGAGTGATTGTGTTCGCTCGGTGTACGCGAGTGCTCGGAATTCATAAGTCCGTTTTTTCAATGTCAAAAAATACACACTATTTAAAAAATAATGATAGTAAATTAATAATCTAGCTCAACTTGTCACTCAAGTTCGTAGCTGGGATCCGC